GATGCAGATTGGGAGATTTAAGAGAGATTCCTCTACAACTTACTGCCCATATTTTTCATCTTCTCTGTTGTCTGTAGGGCTTGGTGATATTTATTAAATGCATTCAAATTTTATGTAAAAATATTTATGGATAAATATTGATGTTTAGTACTATGCATTGCTAAACTGCTGCACATAAATGAAATGATTAAAAAAAAATTGTAAATCTAAAAAAAAAGGTTATTTAGTCAAAAGTGTGGAAAATATGCCTTGATTATTTCTTAACTAGATTTTTGCCATACTTTACTTTTTGGTTATACAGTGCATTTCTATGATGGTTGAAATGATAGCTCCCCTTATTGAGGAAAAAAAAAGAAAAAAATCACCTTTTCATGCCAATTTGGATAAAACGCTTATGCATTAAATGCCTAAAGACACTGCAGAACACAAAGTAAATGCAAAGACATCGTAAAATTTGATATTCAGACAGTTGTTTTGTGTTTTATAATGTTTTGAAGCAGAAATGTCTGTTTACTTGCCTAGTGAAAATAAATGCATGATGTTTGGTTGGCAAATTTAATTTTATCCCATCTCATATAAGATATGCATGATGTAAAATGTTGTATGCATAATATAAAAACCTCCACATTATTTCATAAATATCTTAAATGGCCTGCCACAATTCCATGCCTTTTCAACTGAACTAACAAGTGCCATATTCGATATGCTTATGTTTTATCATATGCAATTTTCACAAAACAAAGGAAAGCATATAATAAAATTAGCTCCATAGCTGTTTTAGTATAATTTGTCTACTAGTATGTATTAAGGTGTTGAATTAACTTTTATTTTTATATACTTATATATATACAAAAAAAAAATAATAATAAAAAAAAAAATATATATATATATATATATATTTTGTTATATTAGTGTGTTATATTTTAAACACAATATTGTGTGTTTTTGTTCAATTTGGCCAACGAAAATATATCCTATAAAGCCACTGCAGAACTGTTGTGTGTCTGTGAGCAACACAGCGGTGTTTAGTTTTGAATGAATCCGCTTTTTGAACGAATTATGTGAAACAATGATTCAATGGTCCATTCATAAAGTGAGCCCTTTTCTTCATTACTGAATTAATCTGCCGTTTGAACGAATCGACTCATAAAGACATTTACCGCCACCTGCTGGTAGTTTTAGTTTCTTCTTTAGAGTATCATTTAATTTATTAAAATAATTAATAAATAAAAACATTAAAGGGATAGTTCACCAAAAATAAATGAGATATTTCTCAAATCATCTTCTTTTATGTGCTATAATTTATGTTAGGCCATTGTAGCCTAAACATTTAACAAAATAATAGCTTTAAATTATGTTTTGAGGTTATTTTCCACAGCCAAATTTAGTTTGCAATTTAATTAGATTAATCGCATCACCCTGTAATTAATTAGATTAAAATTTTTAATTGACTGACAGCCCTATTTTTTTTGTTTGCTTGCTTTTATTTTGTCTTTTTTTAGTATTGAATGTGTTGCTTTATTTTATTTTATTTGACGCTTTATTAATTCATTTTTATTTCATTTTACAGGTACTATAGCTTTAGTAATTGTAGTTAGTCATCTTAAACTTACTATATTTCAGTTAGTTGCCAAGGTTTTTCATCTTATAATCTTTTCAGCTTTTTTAACACTGGTATTTTAATCATTTTAGTTTTAGTTAACAATAACGATGTAAAGTGTACAAAGTTTAATTGCCACTATCAGAAAAAAACAAAAAGGCAAGGACACAGTGATTCAACTACATAATCACAATATGCTAAAAGCTTCGTTATTCTACAGGCACAACCGTCCCAGCCCTCCTAAATAGCACCTCCAACCAGCTCTACCTGCACTTCTTCTCAGATATCAGCGTCTCTGCAGCCGGTTTCCGTCTGGAGTACAAGAGTAGGACATCTGTTGCGCGTCCTGTGCATCTGGACTACACACTCATCAATAAAAACTCAACTAGCTTTTTCACTCAGCTTAATTCCTCGTTGTTTGTCATGTTTTGTTGTTTTCTCTCACAGCTGTGTCCCTCACTAGCTGTCCTGAAACGGTTGTACCCATGAATGGCTTCAAAGTGGGTGAGAGATTACAGATGAACAGTGTGATGTCCTTCCAGTGTGACCCTGGATATACTCTGCAGGTGAGACGGAACTTGCCAAATTCTGGACAAAATCGTGGTTGTTTCAGGACACCGATGTTACATTAGCCATCAAGTGGCATCCCAACACTATTCCAAAATAGTTTATTGTACAAAGTACCAAAAATGTCCTTAAAACGCTCTCGGTAGCAAATAATTAACTGCTCAAAACACAATGTGGTCAGAGGAAACCATGATTAGCCTGGATTTGGGAGCGTGTTATGCAACCTGTCCATGTTGGCAGCTGCTTAATTTGTCAAGCTTTTCAACATCGTTTTTCACCAAATTAGCACAGAGTTTAACATTTTACATCAACAACAAAAGATGTTCTCTTGGGAAACCTATTTATTTTTCTCTGTGGACTATTTACAATTATTTACTGGTAGTATAAAGTGTACAAAGTTTAATTGCCACTATCAGAAAAAAACAAAAAGGCAAGGACACAGTGATTCAACTACATAATCACAATATGCTAAAAGCTTCGTTATTCTACAGGCACAACCGTCCCAGCCCTCCTAAATAGCACCTCCAACCAGCTCTACCTGCACTTCTTCTCAGATATCAGCGTCTCTGCAGCCGGTTTCCGTCTGGAGTACAAGAGTAGGACATCTGTTGCGCGTCCTGTGCATCTGGACTACACACTCATCAATAAAAACTCAACTAGCTTTTTCACTCAGCTTAATTCCTCGTTGTTTGTCTTGTTTTCTCTCACAGCTGTGTCCCTCACTAGCTGTCCTGAAACGGTTGTACCCATGAATGGCTTCAAAGTGGGTGAGAGATTACAGATGAACAGTGTGATGTCCTTCCAGTGTGACCCTGGATATACTCTGCAGGTGAGACGGAACTTGCCAAATTCTGGACAAAATCGTGATTGTTTCAGGACACCGATGTTACATTAGCCATCAAGTGGCATCCCAACACTATTCCAAAATAGTTTATTGTACAAAGTACCAAAAATGTCCTTAAAACGCTCTCGGTGGCAAATAATTAACTGCTCAAAACACAATGTGGTCAGAGGAAACCATGATTAGCCTGGATTTGGGAGCGTGTTATGCAACCTGTCCATGTTGGCAGCTGCTTAATTTGTCAAGCTTTTCAACATCGTTTTTCACCAAATTAGCACAGAGTTTAACATTTTACATCAACAACAAAAGATGTTCTCTTGGGAAACCTATTTATTTTTCTCTGTGGACTATTTACAATTATTTACTGGTAGTAATGCCAAGGTTATGTGTTCGAGGGGGGGGGGGTAACTGGTAACTTTAATGGGTTTGCTGATGCCAGGCTTCCTGTTGCTCTTTTACATTTTCATTACCTGTTGCTGATACTGGCTTGATTACTTACAAATTGCATGATGAAATTTGTAGCAAGTTACATGGTCTGTTACATTACATATATTAGGTAAAATAATCTGACTACTTTTAGATTACTTTTGGATTACTTTTGACCTGAAAAAAGCTGGTCTGTGTATGCAAAACTGGAGGGGGGGACTGTGAAATATAATCATAATCTATAAGTATTTTACATACTGTATAATCAGTTGCTACCTCGCACTGCTTGTTGGTCGCTGCTGCTCGGGACAGTGTGCAAACCTGACAGCTATTTCAAGACCGTTTGAAATTAGTAGTAGCATAGACTTTGTTCAGACTAGGTGCAGACTTAAAACAAGGAAAGGCGATGAGCTTCAGAACTTGGCTTAAGAAAGCCAAAAACCTTAGGGGAAAAAATTGATGGTCAGAATGTGGCCAGAGTGAATACTGAATGAATGAAGGAAAGACTGAAAAACAACAAAATATTTCTTATTTTTATTTTTCTATCTTTGCAGGGAGTCTCCCATATCTCTTGCATGCCAGGGCCTGTGCGCCGCTGGAACTATCCGCCTCCTCTCTGCATCGGTAATAACTTCTGTCATCTTTTATTCATTTATTTCTTTTCTAAATCCTGGCTTCTGCAGATTTATGAGTTCAGATCTACCACAGAGTCCTGAATGGTAAAGAACTACACGGGGACTTGTGTCCGTGTGTACAGCGGCCCCAAAACGTACTCGGGCACTTAAGCCACATTTAAAAATTTATGAATTTCATTGCATTAGGTAACAAATGAATCAAATAAATGATGCTACAGTGTTTCACAGAACTAACTGAGCAAGGTTTGCTGTTATTGCTTTTATCTACCACATGTGTAGTTCATCTCATTCAACTATGAACAGGATCCCATCTGACAAGTGCACTTGTGCCATCTTTCTTTAAAAATGCCATTTGGTTTGTTAATTGACTCTAATGCAGTGAAAAGAGCAGGGATGAAGAGTCTTCACATGATCAAGATAATAGCATCATGTGTTTCTTGAGAAAACCCTATAGTGTCCTATTAGGTCCTTATTAGTTCCATCTCCTGTTGTGCTTGGCGGAGATCTTGAGATGATTCATGGCTTGAACGGTCATCAGCAGTTTCCTGATTCCTGCTGCTTTTTCAAAGGCACAGAGCACATTTTCAACCCCTCCATTCTATATAGACTCCATTCAGGATCTGAAGCTTTGTAAGGCTTCTCAGCACATCCATAGAGTCTCTTTGAGTCCAAAGCCAGGGCTTTAATCAGAGTGATATTTGAATCAATCAGTTGTTTAGACTCAAAGCCTCGAGAGGAGGAGGAGGGGATAGAGCATGCGTTTTCACTGATATGAGAAGATTGAAGGCTACAGAGGTGCTCGAGTGGCCTTTGATAGCTTTGGGAAGTGAGTTGGCTTTTTTAATAAATGAAAGACTTGTTTTCCCTATGATGTCAATAGAAAAGCTAATGTGTTACATTTCTTTATTCGCCACAAAGCTTTTAGGGTCACTGCACGAGGTAGACGGCATTGCTAAGCAACGTGAAACGTCAATCGACTTGTAGCCCACACAGGTTGCTGTAAATATCACAGAACATTGCATGTTTATATCCTCTTTCCCTATAGATATTTTATTTTATTATTTTAAAATTAAATTATATGATTTACATTTGCATTTATTTGAGTTGCAATGAAATTTAAATTCAAATCTGAGTTAAATTAAAAGAATCTTGGGCTTTCGTATTTTTTTCTGCTTCCATTGAAAGCAGAAGATTAATGTTACAAACACACACACACACACACACACACACATATATATATGTGTGTGTGTGTGTGTGTGTGTGTTATATATGACAAATATATAATGTTACAAACATAATAAACATTTCTCCGTTTAACATATTTAAAATCCATGCCATGTGTATCTCTTATTACATTTTGTATACAAATTAGATTTTGTGTCCCAGACTTTCGGTGTGCTCTTAGAATTTTGGATCCCACTATATATTTAGCAACTATAAAAAGCCATGCTGGCTCACCAAAAAAAGACAAGTTCATTTGCAGGTCAGTGACAGCAATTTTCACTTTCAGTCATCTGCCATAAATATATACATATATTCTCACCAATCAAAAGGAGTGGAAATAGCCTATTGGTCACCTCATATTATTCTCTAATGATAGCCTGACAGCTGTCCGCTGTTTGTATTGGTCTTTAGAAGTACTTGAACCTTGAGCTCAGCAGGTTTATACCACAGCATGTGTTTTCTACAAATGAATGTTTCAAACAATGTCCTCGCCATTTTTTCTTTTCAGCTCAGTGTGGGGGAATCAGAGAGGAGATGGAAGGCACCATCCTCAGCCCTGGTTTCCCAGGAAACTACCCTAGCAACAGTGACTGCACCTGGAGGATTTACTTGCCAGTCGGTTACGGTGAGGACACAGCAGAATGAACAGATGCTGTTTGAAAAGAGTTTGCTGGTATTGCCAGTGAGATGTAGTTTAAGATGACTGGATAAAACTGGTAATGCTAACTATGATATTTAAATGGTATGTTACTGAATTTTACCAGATATTGCATCTATAAGGAATCAAATTCCTACCCTTAAGTTATTAGAACCAATCACATTTTTAATATTTAATTTTTAGCATAGACCATTCATGCACATTAGCTGGACAAGATTTAAGCTAAATAAGCTAAATTGTTTATTCCATTGATTTTACCAAACACATCTTGTTTTATCATCCAAACAGGGGCTCATGTGCAGTTCTTGAACTTTTCCACTGAGGCCAACCACGATTTCCTGGAAATTAGGAATGGGCCTTTTGACACCAGCACAGTGATTGGCAGATTCAGTGGGCAGGACTTACCACCATCTCTTCTAACCACTTCCCATGAGACTACTATATATTTTCATAGCGACCACTCTCAGAATAAACCTGGCTTCAGATTTGATTATCAGGGTAAGGAAACTAAAAAATAAAAGCTGAAAATTTTTTGACCAAGTTTTTTTTTTGATGAAAGTTGATTTCTTTGAGGTGTCACATAAGATGCACTCGTCATGTCACAACAGATGCATGTGGAACTGGCATTCTTCTAGCAGGTTAAAAAATAAATCATACATTTTCTTCCCCTTGTCTTTCATCTATCAATATGTCTGTCTTTTCCAGCATATGAACTTCAAGAGTGTCCTGATCCTGAACCCTTTCACAATGGTGTGGTGGTTGGGGCTGGTTATAATGTGGGTCAGTCCATCTCCTTTGAGTGCTATCCAGGATATCAGCTGATGGGACACTCCATTCTTACCTGTCAACATGGGACTACGCGCAACTGGGATCATCCGTTTCCTCGCTGTGAAGGTACAACCCCCTCCATTTCCTCCCCCACATCAGTAAACATCTGGTATGCTTATTTGCATTCTGAGAGGACAGTTTTTATATAGTAACTAACCTGGTTTTATGTCAAATGTATTAAACTATACATTGTCAATGTCATTACACATTTGAATAGGACAAATTTCATTGATTGAAAATAAATGCAAGATTTAAAGTTGTTGTTCACCCCAAAATGAAAATTCTGACATCATTTAATTACCCTCACATCGTTCCAAACCTGTTTGACTTTCTTTTTCCCGTTGAACACAAAAGGAGAGGTTTCACAGCATGTTCATGCTGCTCTTTTTTTTTTTTACAATGCAAGTGAATGGTGAACAGCGACTCTCAAGCTTCACAAATAGCAAGAAGTAACAAAAAATAGTCTATATATAAATAATTAACTACTAGCAAATACGGTATTATGTATATTTAATTAATAGCTTTGTTCTTCCCATCGTCACTCCTGCCTTGGATGTGTGGTCAAGGAGGGCAACTGCACATAAATCCAAATTCTTCACTGTAAACCATCCCTACAGACTCAATGACTTCTTTCTAACATCTCCTCCAAGGGGATGATGGGAAATGAATCGAGTTCATCATTGACCCACATTCTCATGCTCATTTTTCTGTTCATTCAATGAGTTAATTATGCAGCGTGTCATGAGGAAACATGCACAGGGGATGCTGAATGCTCGTGTGAGAATAAAGATGATCCAGGTAGGTACTCAAGAGGCTGACATAGCATTTGCAGCCTCGTCGCCTCGTTCAAGCGCCAGTGCTTTGCCCAGTGCTGCTGCACAGGTGAACTCGCAAATAGAAACACACATTATTCATCCACTTTGTCTTATAATAATCCACACAAAGAATATCTTAGTATCAACCTGGGCCTTGTTAAAACACTCTTGCACTGTGCATAATTGAATTTGTAGTAATCGAGAGCTCTGGTGTGACAGAGTGAAAAAGTGAAGAATAGATATGATGCACTACACTCCCATGCGGTGTAATATGCACACTGTCAAGACCAAAAGATGAAAGATGGGACTCTTTTGTTCAGCTTTTTTTTTTTTTTTCCTTTCTTTTAGACCATCTCAGGTGCTATGGAACGATATTCCGGACAATTTTCAAATAGAATTGCAAATTGTATTTTCAATTGGGTTGTATATTCAATATGTGGACGCATAAATTGTGACATAATCCAAATGCAATTGCAAATCCTGCATTACCGTTTGCATTTTCGCTTTCGCGAACGCACAGCGACGGCCAAATTTCAAATGAAAAATCAAAGTCCATTTGCAACTGTATTTGCCATGTCTTAGGAGTTACGAGCCTGTCATATATAAATAGCAATATTAATTACCAGTCTGCTTTTTCACTCTCGCGGTGTCGCGCATGTAACCTGCCAAAACTCAAATGGAATCACAATTCCTTTTGCATTTGAATTTCTGATGTCTACACCGAAAGCTGTCAATCATCGTCAGGGGCGGGACTATACTAGGGGGCGTGTTTGTATTGGGAGATGACGTCACTCACAGACGACCGTGCCGAATGCTCTGATCAATGGAGGTAATCGGTAAAGGCTCCGTTAAAGGCAGCTACCAATCAGTTTCATACCTGTGTAAACGAACAGACAGTGCAACCTTCTTGGCACAATACATAATTCTGTCTTTTTTACCCCAAATGTAGCGATTATCCCCTGCTAACAGCGGGAGCCACAACGGTACGCACAATAGGTCAATATTCACTATTAACCAAACGCTTTTCACCTGTCTCAGCATCTCTCACTGTTTAGTGTAAACTTACTGCCTCAAGACCTTTTACCGTTTGCACTCCACTTGATGCACTTAAGCAAACAAACAGAGCAAATCTACACGTATTTGTCACCTATATCTTATTCCTATCTATAGCCTATGTGCACCTGCCTCAAGATCTCTCAGTCTGTTTACGATCTGATAGATGCATGTGACTTTTTGCAATTGCATTTGGATTGTCACAATTTATGCGTCCACATATTGAAAACGCAATTGAAAATACAATTTGCTATTCTATTTGAAAATTGTCCGGAATATCGTTCCGTACTTTAATGTTTCCTCCTATAATATTTAAGTACCTCAGAAAAATATTATTCAGCTTTAGTGGACGCTTAACTGGTAAATTACATTTCTGATAGGTTGTAAAGGCACAGCTAGATTTTTATAATAGCTTTTAATACTGAAAAATCAACAGACAATGGATATTTTCAAGCATCCTGATTATTTAGAATTGTATCATTGTATTCATAATAAACCCATAGCATAATACGTTTAAAGGCTAAATTCAGCCAAGGCTGACTATCAGTCAAAAGTTTTTGAACAGTAAGATTTTTAATATTTATTAAAGAATTATCTTTAATATATAATATTTAATTAGGCTCACCAAGCCTGCATTTATTTGATCCAAAATACAGCAAAAGCAGTAATATTGTGAAATGTGTTTACTATTTAAAATAGCTGCTTTCTATTTGAATATATTTAATATATTGAATATATTTAAAATGTAATTTATTCATGTGATCAAAGCTACATTTTCAGCATTATTACTCCAGTCTTCAACATGATCATTGTCACATGATCCTTCAGAAATTATTTTAATATGCTGATTTGCTGTTTAAGAAACATTTTATTATTATCATTATCAATATTTAAAACAGTTGAGTTTTTTTTTCAGGATTCTTTGATGAATAGAAAGATCCAAAGATCATAATTTATCTTAAATAAAAAGCTTTTGTGACATTATACAATATACCATCCAAAAGCTTGGAGTCAGTATTTTTTTGGGGGGTTGGGTGGAATTATAGAAATTAATACTTGTATTTAGCAAGAATGCTTTAAATTGATCAAAAGTGATGATAGGTGAGGTTTCTATTCCAGATAAATGCTGTTCTTCTGAACTTTCTATTCATCAAAGAAACCTGAAAAAATTCTACTCAGCTGTTTTCAACATAATAGTAATAAATGTTTTTTGAGAAGCAAATCAGAATATTGGAATGGTTTCTGAAGAATCATGTGACTGGAGTAATGATGTAAAAAATCAGCTTTGAAATCACAGGAATAAATTACATTTTAAAATATTTTCAAATAGAAAAGTAATTTTAAATAGCAGATATATTTCACAATATTACTGTTTTTGCTGTACTTTGGATCAAATAAATGCAGGCTTGGTGAGCAGAAGAGAACTCTTTAAAAAACATTAAAAATCTTTGACTGGTAGTGTATTCATTTGACTTTTGAATATAATTGTTTATAGCCTGATCGTTGACCATGCACACACTCACACACACACATGCAAGTCAAGTTTGTCCATCTTTACCGATAGTAAAAAGCTGCTCTAGCAGTGCATTGATTTAGGTCAAAGACTTTATGCTGTGGTGACTGATGAGATGTCTCTTTAGAAGCACAAATTAGAATAGTTGTGGCTTATTACATTTTACACTGAAATTCACTTTATATGTTGTTTTAAATTGCATTACATACATCAGGAACTCAAGTAAAGCACAAACTCGTACTAATAGAATTATAGTACAGTTGCTAATAGAAGTATAGTATAAATTTTAATAACATTTTAAAATGATAAGTACTTCACACCCCTACTGCCCTGGCTATCACCTACACATGCTGCCACCAATAGTTCATGCCCAGGGTGTCATGTACATAGATTTCCTCTCCCAGGCATTAGAAAGATGATCGATTTTCTCGTCCTCTGCCCCACCTGTCCATATCAGCCTACTTGGCCTGTCCTCCATCTATGGCTCTCTCTTCTTTTTTTAGTTCACCACAACCCCACATCCTCCCATCCCACCTCACTACTAAACTTTTTTTGCCCAATCGATAGCGTCACCATGCATTTCTGCTTGATAGCGTGGCATATTTTTTTAAATCAATGCTGTGATCGATACTTCATTTAGAAAGTAAGGTGGCGAGAGAGAGCACACAGCACGAGGGATTAACATAGGCGCCCCTCTCAGCATTCCATCGGAGAGGAGAGGAAATGAAGAAGGAGGAAAGAGTGCAGGAAGGATTGAGAGGGTGGGAACGAGTGGGGAGGGATGTGGGGACGGTGAGACCTTGGCGGTGCAAGAAACTGCTGAGAGTACAGTCAGAGCGAGATTGTATTACGACAGTCCTTACGTGTGCGTACAAGTCATGGGCCTAGCTTTATTTCGCCAGCCGAATCGTATTGATTATTTCCCCTCCAACTTGGGGCAGCAGCAGCATGGGATCAGCACGGAAAGGAAGGGGATTTGATTTCATATGTCTGGGGCTCATTTGAATCATTGGAAACATGGACATGTCTATTTAAATGCAAAGCACTGCTCCAAGAGGGATTTCTATGATGGAGTCGGACAAGGAAAGTGAACTACTGGGAAAGACTGAGTGGTGTTTTAGAACCCAGCGGGGATTTTCACCCATGTCGCCCTGCCCTGGTTCCTGCTTTTTCCTCCATTCCCTGTGTGCTGTAATAAATTTATGTGCAAGGCTGCTTTCCGTGATGATGTTTCTTTAATCTTTGGTTGCTACAAAAAGTTTTTCCATTTCTACATGTTAATTTTTGCCTTCTAGTGCCCTGCGGAGGTAACATTACATCAGACAATGGCACTATCTTCTCCCCCGGTTACCCAGAGGATTACCCCACTTCTGCTGACTGCAGCTGGCTGATTACGGTGGCACACAGCCTGGGTATCCGTCTTAATTTTACCCTCCTGCAAGTCCATGGCCCCCAAGATTTCATCACAGTCTGGTGAGTTGTCAAACTTCCTATTGCGATTATCCTTCTGCACCTTGTCAGGTTCTCTTTCTCTCTCAGTCACTCTCCTTTTGGGGAGGGAACATATTTATAGCACGCTCAAACTGGTGATTAATTAATGAGCCTCTGCGGTGAGTCGCTTGAGGCCTGTATGTACAGGAAGGACTTTGAACCCTGTCTCAGGTTCACCCTAAAACATGGTAGGCCAAAAGTTGCAGTCTAAGCACACATCTTCTCGAAATTCATTGCTTCTCTTGAGACTGCAAATTTCTGTTTGGATTAACTGAGTAAGCATTGATCTTTCCCTACTCTTACATGCACTTCAAGTCAACCTAGAGGTACAGTATAACCAGAAAAGCCAAGAAAAGCTCCATCAAGACAGCTTGGCCTCACTTCAGTGAGCCAGCGCTCCCTTTAGCCAACCAAATGCTTTTCTGAATGCACAGGACAGGATGTAATCTGTAGCACAAGCTCAGGCAGCCACTAACAGATTGTTTTGAAGCTGAATGGTCATGGTTAAAACTGGGATTAGGTTGTCGCCAAGTTGTTCACTCCCCATTAGAGGGCTGTAAAGATTGAAGTAAGCCCACTAGGTGATGTCCTTGTAGATGGTGACTTCGGTTTTACAACATCTTGAAAGAGAGGCTGAGTCTGACCTGAGCTAGAGAGAACGTAGCGCACTCCCTAAGAGAGTGTGAGAAGAGTCTTTGAAATCAGAGAGGAAATCAGTATGGCTAGAATCGTCTCTGAAATCAGTAAAGTAATCAATATGCAGAGAAATGGCTCTCAAATCAGCCTGGTGATCAATGTGTGTGAGACCTGACTTACTGTGCATTTTTAGGCAACAAGGCATTTGGTGTTCTCCTGTAGCACTGAGTATGCAATGTTAGCGGGTTTTATATGTTGAATTTTAATATTGAATCTTAAACAGGGACGGACCGCAGGAAACAGCTCGCAAACTTGGAGTGTTTACCGAGGGAGAGCCCAACAACCCACCAAGCAGCACATCTAATCACGTTCTAATACGTTTCCGAACCAATTCTGAGAAAGGTGGACTGTTTAAGATCAACTACCAAGGTAACTAGTCCAAGTCAAAGCTACCATTAGCATTCTCATGCATCCGCTCAGATGCCAAGGCTACCAGTCCCATTGGGCCGTGCTGATATGCTGACTCATTGCCAGAATTTAAAACAGAGGCTGTGTTGTGATGTTGTGTTGTGCATGGTGTTCGAACATAGGTAGAGTTTACATCTTGTGCAAACACTAAATGGGGGAAAAGCAGACAGAAGCTATATTATTTATTAAGTACCAGTATATATTTTTGTATTGTATTTCAAATGGTTGTGAAACGCTATAGCAGGTGATTTTAAAAATGTACCTGCCCTAAATATTTCTTTTAAGCTTGAGTTTTGCATTTTTTGTTTTGTTATTATTTAGCTGTTTTTCTTAGCACATTCTATGCTATCCAATCTCTCTGTGAAACTCCAGCTCTCATAAAATCTTAAATATACTTATTTGTGGCTTAATGCAGTTAATATTTCACACATGGTTTGCCACATGGTGCTCTGGACGAAAAAAATTCAGATGCTCGGCATATATTCCTACTGTATATGAAGTGCTTTTACGAAGACTTTTTTAATGTGCATAGGCAGCATAAATGTAGTTTGTGCTACTTAAATAAAAATCACAATCACAGGAAATTATGTACTGTGTACTTGAAAATTGATTGTTGATTTTTGTGCAAAGGACACAAACTAATTTTTATTAAGAATCTAAAAAGCAGAGCTTGAAGAAGTGTAGGATTTTTAGACTCAGATATTTGTTTATAATGAAATTAGTGATATTAGTTTAGTCGTAACTACATCATTCTACCTACAGCAACAAAAACAACACTGCTACTAATATTTTATTAGAATTATTGTTATTGGCTCAGAGGTGGGATGAAATACCTCAGAGTCTGTCAAGCAAACCCCATGAGTATGCTAAACGCTCATCTCATCTCCAGCTGCTTTTATGTGATTTGATATGGCATTTCCCATAAACTCCCTCAGTTCCTCCTCATTATGTTTATCTCTCTGCTCTAAGTGTAGAAGAATTATTTCTCTGAGCTCTCTGTACTAGCCTTCACTGCGAACAGTAGGTCTGACTGAAAGGCCTCCTTTGATTGTCCCATTATGTATACGGTAAAGTTCAGAAGTCTGAGACCACTAATGAAAATGTTTCTAATAGGCGTTTTTCTATTTGAAAAACCTTTTTCCATTAGAAATAATATAATCAACAGTATTTAAAACAAAATGTTTAAAACCGTTTATTTCCCAGTTTAAATAGCATTATGAATCCCAGTTTTACAATGTGGTTTCATATTTTGGACCTCATTATATATCAAGACATACATCCTGTGTTTGGCCTCATCTATGATGTAAACAAAAAGCAGTTGGGCTGTTTGTACACTGGAAGCAATTTGTGGGCTGCAGTACAGCTGTTTGGCGGAAAATGATTAAGGCCTTTAGAAAAAAGAAGAAACAAAAATAGACACGCTTTATCATTTCCTGCTTAAGCATATGTCGGGCAGAGGCTGAGGTTTGGGGCAGTGTGAAGAGGGAGGACACATCATTAGATTTGTTATATATTTTTTTATATAGTATAGCAGGCCCAAACATGTACCTCCTCAACCTTCATGGTGGAGTGCTCTCTCTGAAGCTTTGTAATTCATCCTAACATTAATTAGGTGTCGACAGTTAATTGCTTCGGCTATATGAAAAGCCCCTTATACTGAGGGCCAACATAGCCAGCTGACACCCGCTCCATTTGGTCAGGGTGCTGCCTCTGGCTGTCAGTCACATTAAGTATGCCTGTCTCGTCAAACATCCCAGAGGGAAAGAGACAGGAAAGACTGAGGGACTGGTGGAATGAGACAGGAGGAGGAAGAAAGTGATCTTATACTTTATATCAGTAATTTGTTGAGAGAAACAGGTCTGTTCTGATAGGATCAACAGGGAAGACAATGAAAAATATGAATAACAAAATGTGACCATTTACTTGCGTAAAGTTTAGTTACCAAAACAAATGCGCTTAAATTACATAGTACACATTGTTGAATGGGTTATATTTACAATGTATTTTTTTTCTCCATAAAATAGGTCCAGTAACAAAAGTAAAAGGTTTTTTGAGGGAAAAAAAGGGAAACTACCTTGGGAAATATGGCAACTGCACCACAACTGAAGTTTTGAATTTTGGAGTCACTACAAACTCAGATTGACCAAACCTTTTTCTTTTCATCTTCAGTGGTAATGGGTAACAACATCTAATTATCTAATCAAAGATGCATTTAAAATCTTGATGTATGAGAATTGTAAAAATTGTGCTTTAATAGAGCACTTTGCAGTATTTAGGAGGAAATCAAATGTCATGTGGGTTCAAAAAACAGCTTATTATTTGTGTTCTTCAAAATCTGCCCTTTTAATTCCAACAATGCAATTTGTTCGAGAAAGTAAAAGAAAATGATATGTTGCCATATGGCTACACTGTACCAAAAAGGGGCAAAAGCAAGGACAAAATATTTGTAACCTTTCATAGTCTTTCCTGTTGTTGACGTCAAAAGCTACGCATTCAATCGAACTGTATGGTATTTTGATGAATTATTTTCATGTGGTAGGATCTAGCCAATTTGTTTCAACAGACTGTGAAACAATATGCTTTCATCTTCCAAAAAAAAAAAAACAGACTATTAAATACATTCACATTATGAATATTAAGAATAAAAATGGCTTGTGCATAATTACGTTTAATGGCAATTATTGGCCTAATATAATAACAATTGATAATGTTGATATTTGATTTAAGGACAGATTTGTTTTCTGTGATCCTGAAAAACAAGTGAAAGTGTGAGCAAGCATACGGAGAGAAAAACTGAGGGATTGAAAGAGTAGAGAGGAAGGACAGTGATGGGTAGAGGGAGCGCAAATCCTTTCATCTTCCAAAAAAAAAAAACAGACTACATTAAATACATTCACATTATGAATATTAAGAATAAAAATGGCTTGTGCATAATTACGTTTAATGGCAATTATTGGCCTAATATAATAACAATTGATAATGTTGATATTTGATTTAAGGACAGATTTGTTTTCTGTGATCCTGAAAAACAAGTGAAAGTGTGAGCAAGCATACGGAGAGAAAAACTGAGGGATTGAAAGAGTAGAGAGGAAGGACAGTGATGGGTAGAGGGAGCGCAAAGCTCATTGAGATGCAGAGGATATCCAGGCTGCAGGTGCACCCAGCTATTAAATCACAGCTTCTCCCCATCTGTCTCTCTCTCTCTCTCTCTCTCTCTCTCTCTCTCTCTCGTTCTCTGTACATACCTGACATCTGATCTGTCACATCCTCTTGTTGAATACATCATACCATGTCTTGCTTTCCATCAAATATTTCTCCTTACTTCTTTCAACCTTCCTCTTATGCAAGAAATCCAGTCCAGAACTTCCCGTTTCTTCTGCAGACAATCATACATACACATAAACATGATAGCCTTGTGCCAGTCTCTTCAAATCCAACCCTGTGTTTAAGTGACAAGTGCTTGATAAGAAGAAGATGCTTGATATTTATTTTATTTTTTCTGATTTGTTATATATGTGACCCTGGACCACAAAACCAGTCATAATGGTCAAATTTTCGAAATTGAGATGTATACATCATCTGAAAGCTGAATAGATAAGCTCTTCATTGATGTATGGTTTGTTAGGATAAGACAATATTTGGCTGAGATACAACTATTTGAAAATCTGGAACCTGAGGGTGAAAAAAATCGAAATATTGAGAAAATCGCCTTTAAAGTTGTCCAAATGAAGTTCTTAGCAATGCATATTACTAATCAAAAATTATGTTTTGATATATTTATATATATATATATATATATACTGCAGCTATTTTGCAATGTTTTATTCTGCTTTTAACCCAAGTGTTACATTTTGCACTGATGACATGCATACACCACCATTCAAAAGTGTGGGGTGATTCATTCATTCATTCAGGATATGGCTGCAAAACGATTAATCACAATTAATTGCATTCAAAGTAAAAGTTTGTTTACATAATGTGTGTGTACTGTGTATATTTATATATAAATGCACACACACAATACTGTACATGTATATATTAAGTGTTAGATTTATATACAAAATATTGACATATACATGCATGTGTATTTATATATACATAATAAATATACACAGTACACACATATAGTATGTAAACAAACTTTTATTTAGATTAATTGTTTTGCAGCCCTAATTCAGGAGCATTCAATTAATGAACAGTGACTATACATGCATTTCAAATAAATGCTATTTTTTTTAAATAACCCTGAAAATGTATCACTGTTTCCAAAAAAATATTAAGCTGCACAACCTTTTTTTAACATAACATGATAACAATGCGAAATATTTTGTGACCAGCAAATCAGCATATTAGACTGCTTCCTGAAGGATCATGTGACACTGAAGAATGGAGTAATGATGCTGAAAACTCAGCTTTGCTATCACAGGAATAGATTACCGTTTAAAGTATATCCAAAGAGAAAGAGGGTACTTTAAATTGTAATAATATTTCACAATATTATTCTTTTTTTTTTGATCAGATTAATTCAGCACTCATCAGCATGAGACTTTTTAAAAACATTTAAAAACATTATTGACAATGATAGTATTAAAATAAAAATATAATAATAAAAAATGTAAAAAGTTTTATTTAATATTAAATATTTAGTATTTAGAATAGTATTTGGTATTTGAAATCACCCAGTAACCAATACATCTAAGTACATAAAACATTAAACTGATTCAATTTCCAGCAAAAAAAGTTTACTGTATTGTCATACCTGCTCCACCATAGAATATACAGTATATTATATATAATGTAGCCCTCTGTTTTGCGGTATAAACTGATTTAAACATGAATATATTGACAATGTAAATATCAAGAATATAGCAAGGGCCTATAACTGTTATGATATATTAAACATGCTCGCAAAAGACTTCTCATATCTGTCAGTTTGTTGCTTTACAGTACATCTTTGTTTGTTATAGGTTAACAGTCAGCTTTCAAAGTGCAGTATGCGGCAGCAAATAAAGATCCATAACACCCACGCTCACACTATACAGAATGTAATTTGTGAGCTTGAGCTCCAGGATGCACAGATGTAGGTTATTGGCGGTGAGCGCATTAGGCTTTATGCAGTGATGATAGGCTCAAACGGGCATCGATATGCATCCATGATAATGTTTGTCCTCCAATGAAACCACATTCAGATTTTATATCGCCTCCGAGCCCTGTAGCCAGTCCCAGAGCCTCTATATTTTACCCTCGTAAAGGAAATGTGTCAAAGCAGCAACCGTATCGTCCCTGCGTATCCACCGAGCTCAAGCTCAATCTCAACCAGAAACCACAAGTGTGATTTACATCATATCAATTCTCAAAGCAACTTTTTATAATTTAATCATTGTCACTGGAGCAATTCACTGGACTGTGAACCTTAATGTAATTATAAGAATAACTTATCTCAGGTTTGACACGTAAAGCCGGACAGTGCACAGCATGCATGAAATTATTGCTTTGATTAACGTCCATCCTAATCAGTCCACAGACCCGTGGGCTTAAATGTTAGTCAATTAAGGTGCTAAACGACTGACTAAAAGACCAATTACAGAGGCCAAATATAGAAACAAAACTGTTTACTGTGGGTCATGTTATTTACAGGGTTTTAGCGCGTCGCATCCATCGATATTCTGATAAGCAGAGGTGAGCGGTGAGGTTAGAAATTCTCAATTTTTCCATCGTGATAATCTCATTCAGATCTCAACTCAATCATGAAGTATTCACACCAGCGGAGCTCTGAAACAGCAGCGTGTTTATTTAGCAAGACAAGTAATAGAACATTCATATTTCATATCCGAAACGTAAGTGTCATAAATATTTGATAATAACAATCCCTTCCATTCTGATACGGGGTTCGGCTTCAGACATGCCGTACGCGGCCTCTCATCCATGTCATCCACGTCATGTGGAAGAAATGAGACAAAATAATAGAATTGTGTCAGAGATGACCAACCAGAAACCACAAGTGTGATTTACATCATATCAATTCTCAAAGCAACTTTTTATAATTTAATCATTGTCACTGGAGCAATTCACTGGACTGTGAACCTTAATGTAATTATAAGAATAACTTATCTCAGGTTTGACACGTAAAGCCGGACAGTGCACAGCATGCATGAAATTATTGCTTTGATTAACGTCCATCCTAATCAGTCCACAGACCCGTGGGCTTAAATGTTAGTCAATTAAGGTGCTAAACGACTGACTAAAAGACCAATTACAGAGGCCAAATATAGAAACAAAACTGTTTACTGTGGGTCGTGTTATTTACAGGGTTTTAGCGCGTCGCATCCATCGATATTCTGATAAGCAGAGGTGAGCGGTGAGGTTAGAAATTCTCAATTCTTCCATCGTGATAATCTCATTCAGATCTCAACTCAATCATGAAGTATTCACACCAGCGGAGCTCTGAAACAGCAGCGTGTTTATTTAGCAAGACAAGTAATAGAACATTCATATTTCATATCCGAAACGTAAGTGTCATAAATATTTGATAATAACAATCCCTTCCATTCTGATACGGGGTTCGGCTTCAGACATGCCGTACGCGGCCTCTCATCCATGTCATCCACGTCATGTGGAAGAAATGAGACAAAATAATAGAATTGTGTCAGAGATGACGGTTTATCCTTTTATGCTATGATTTGCATTTGGATGCTTGCTTTGTATTTCCGACAGCTGCAGATATAAGAGACAGGCTTCCGAGATTTGAGAGAAGCGCCCAAGATGGGCCACTGCATAACGCCTGATAATTCAAGGTAAAAGTGTGGGGAAATGTCACAGCGGGCCTCTGAGGAATATCAATGACTGAGAGATGAAACTGCAGACTGAGGTTGAGCCAGGCGTTACAGCTGTGGGAACAACAGTGATCAATCCTCCCAGTGTCATGACAGACTGGCCTGGGGTGCTTTGTGTTATCATCGACGTGCTTTACCAAAGGCATGTACATGCAAGACTGTATTGGGCCTTGAATTGTTGGGTGATCAATAGGCCACACGCTTTCTTTTGCATCTGAAGCATCATATTGCAATGACTGAGAGATGAAACTGCAGACTGAGGTTGAGCCAGGCGTTACAGCTGTGCGAACAACAGTGATCAATCCTCCCAGTGTCATGACAGACTGGCCTGGGGTGCTTTGTGTTATCATCGACGTGCTTTACCAAAGGCATGCACATGCAAGACTGTATTGGGCCTTGAATTGTTGGGTGATCAATAGGCCACACACTTTCTTTTGCATCTGAAGCATCATATTACTTTGGAAACTGCTTATGGTAGAGAAATGACCATTCAATTCACGGGCAACAGCTCTGGTGGACATTCCTGCAGTCAGCATGCCAATTGCACACTCCCTCAAAATTTGCGACATCTGTGGCATTGAGCTGTGTGATAAAACTTAAGCACATTTTAGAGTGGCCTTTTATTGTGGCCAGCCTAAGGCACACCTGTGCAATAACCATGCTGTCTAATCAGTATCTTGACATGCCACACCTGTGGGGTGGATGGATTATCTCGGCAAAGGAGAAGTACTCACTAACACAGATTTAGACAGATTTGTGAACAACATTTGAGAGAAATAGGCCTTTTGTGTACATAGAAAAAGTCTTAGATCTTTGAGTTCAGCTCATGAAAAATGGGGGCAAAAACAAAAGTGTTGCGTTTATAATTTTGTTCAGTGTATAAACCCAAAAAATTGTTGTGGGTTATTTTTAATTTGTTTTTATTTTTAAAAAGTTTATGGGTGATTCTTAAGTTCATATGTACTCCAACTTTTAGTAAATCAGATTTTATGCATTTTAAATTCACAATTGATACTTGTGCACCAGAGATGTATCACATACATGGGAACTTTATGCTTTGCTTTATCCTGCAGGTCCAACAAGACAGAGTCCACTGCTCATTTCTCTGAGTGGGAACTATTCATCTCCCTTCAGTATTACTAGCACTGCAAACAAGGTTTACCTACACTGGTCTTTCGATCACACCTCCAGCCACAAGGGCTTTCGAATCCGCTACTCCGGTGAGTATTCAAACACATCATCAAAACACACTGATTGTATTTGGATTTCCCCAAGCCACTGTTCCCTGTGGACTAAGAGTTCTCTCAAAACACAATGAATGCATCAATTTATTAAATTAAACTCAGCAAACCTTTGCATTTAAAACAGCTTTTGACCAAGGTACACTTGCACATAGTTTCTCAGGTAGCTTTGTAGGAAGGTTTCTTGAAGCATCTTGGAGACGATTGAATTTAAACAAGACTAGGTACTTTGAAATAATACTATTTAGGCCTGGGTGATAAAACATTATCAATATTTATTGACGGTACACCTTCATCGATAATGATATAAAAAATGTTCGATATAGCACACGATATAGGCACGTGCTATGAGTGACGCAGACAGCTCACACAAACACGAACACATGCTGAATTGAGTGCTGTGCCTGCCTGTGATGAGGAGATTGTAAATAAAAAAAATAATATTAGTCGGATTTAAACGAGATGCGTTGATGATGATGTAAGTGACGCTGCATTTTAATGTTTTGTTAGTCTAGCCCACGAGACGCGCCGCTGCTGTGTTATTCATTCAAAATATTAGAGAAATATAGTAGCTCAATGCGTAGAAGATCTTGATTAGGTTAAACCCAAACCCAGCCATTCACACAGAATGCAAATTCAGCACATTTTTAGACGGACAAATATGACTGCTACACTCGCGTCTCATGCAAGAGATGCAAAGAAAGCCATGCAAAGTTAAAACAGTTTTAACGTTTAGAAAACGCAACGTGAATTTGTGAAGGTTTATTTCATTTCACTGCGTCTCGTATGTTTTTAAATGCAATCTGTGTGATCGGCGATTTGGCTCTTTGTATTAGGCTAAGCAATGCATAAACACATGATGCTGTTTTGTTCATAATTGTTTATGCAGTTTACAAAATTATATTTGATTTATATATGTTAATTTAGACATTATGCATGTTTTTATAGACAGTTATTTAAATTGACAATTAATGCAATGCATTATTTTGCTCATTGCACCCTCCTGTGGCCTCGGGAAACAAGTCAAAAGTTTCCTTAAAGGGGTGGTTGACTGTTTTTTTTTTATAGGCTTGATTGTGTTTATGGGGTGCAGTCTAACATGTGTTTAATGCTTTGTTTCTTAAAAAACGCATTATTTTTCACATAATTTACCTTTATTCCAGACCTCTCTGTCCCTTCTCCTCTGAACGCGCTGATCATTTCCTGCTTTTATGAAGCCCCTCTCTCAGAAATACACGATGGGCTCTGATTGATTAGCTGGCCTAGTGTGTTGTGATTGGCTAAACCGCCTCTAGCGTGCGTCTAAGCGTCCCACCCCTCAACATAGCGGCATGTGCTCCGGTTGTATTGTAAACAATGACGTTGTCTATATTGCTTATCAATTTGAGCCTGATTGAGACGCAGAGGATATCAGTGAAGAGGATCGCGCAGAACCTGTGCAAGCACGTCTTTTAATGGTAGGCCTAAGATTTTTGTTTGTTGTTGTCTCATACTTTTAGATACGCTGTTATTTGTAAATGCTACTGCTTCTGTTAGCTTTTACTATACGGTTTTATTCTGATTAAAGCTTTAATACAGTTCGGCAACCACACGCGTGTCCATGTATAACGCTTCTCATAACTATAGTATGTGAAAATAAGTGTACTCACTGAGCTGATGATCTGAATGAGAGAGAGAGAGATGCAGAGCATGTGCAGAGCAGGGGGCGAGGCCAGGAACAGGATGAGAACGCTGCTTTAGAACATTGATTTTGAAACTTGTGAATCCATTAGAATCGTTAGAAGACAGAATCGCGATTCATATATGAATAGATTTTTACGTGCACCCCTAGTTTTCTCTTCCTCTTCTCTAAAGCAGCGCAGCATGGCCTCGTCCCCTTTGCTGTGTGTTCCCGGAGGCGGGGTTTATGTAAAATTCTGGGTTCTTGACGTAACGGACCCGGGAAGTAACTCGTTACTTAAACTGCCAGAATTTTAAAAGACGATATCTCCGTTTGCATTGAACTTTCAGCTTCGTAACTTTGCAGATATTGTTTATGATCAAACAGCAACATTACACACTAACTAACATTAAAAAAGTGAAATCGCAATCAACCACCCCTTTAAGACTTATTTAATCTGCATATAAAACATAAGAAAGGAGATATGTTTACATTTAATTTTATGTTTGACAGTAAAAAAAAATTAAAAAAAAAAAAAAAATATATATATATATATATATTTGTTGTTTGTCTTAATAAAGTGGGCAAATTAAAAATACAGTGGTTGAATTAAAAAAAAAAATTATATTGCTCTGTTTTAAAAAAAGGTTATAAAAAATGTCAATAATTTTTGATACCGAACAATATGAAACCTATATCGTTGATATATTTTTTTAGCTATATCGCCCAGCCCTAATAATATTACGTCTTCACTACCTGCTTGCGAAAACAAACGTACAGTGTAACTAGTGTAGTTTGAGTCATGAACAAATTACTCTTATGAGCCGATTCTTTTAATGAATCGGCCAAAAAGACCTATGACCAATGAGTTATCGGTTTGGCTTACAGATGACTACATCTAACAAATCAGATGACTCCTCGACTGCCTGAATGTTTGACAACTTACAGTTAAAGATATGCATTCACAAAACGACCAATTATGACCTGCTGTAAAAACAGAATTACGCAGGAAACGCTGCCACAAGCTATCAAGATCTGATTGCGCCGTTTCATGAGCAATGGCGTTAATTCTAAATGAGTTATTACCCCGTAAATATTTAAAAAGTTTCCGTATGCTCCTAATCATTAGCGTTTCAGAAGAATGACTAATCACCTCTTTGTCTGGCTCATCAGGGTCCTTTCTCTCGGCATCAGCTTGTTTTGCTTTTTCCGCTCTTTCCTCGCATGATGGATTTTTGATATAGGGCTCTGTGACAGTCTGGGTTAGCAGCGGCAGCACACCTAGGTTTCCCTCCTCAATATGGTTTCCCTTCTGTAGCGATACCTTGGTGGGACAAAAACAGATGGTGGGACAGATTCAAAGCTTCGTACCATGTTCTTTCTCAATCCATCTTTTATCTCCACAGGCTGTTGCTTCATCAACTGTAGCGGGTCCTTTCACTCCGCCTTCCTCTCTCTTTTATTTCTCTCTTCATTTTTCTTTTTATTTCCTGACCTTTTCTTCTCACCATCACCTGTGTGAGGTTTGCTAAATGACTGGCTTTGAGAAGTTTGAAGGCCTTTCTTTGGAAAAAGAAGTAAGCGTGCAGGTTAAAGGTTGAAGATTGACAGCATCAACTTTGTAATTTAAAAACAAGGGCCAAGGAGCATGAAAGATTGTTTGTATCGTAACTTTATTAAATGCAAAGCTGGGGCTCTTGGGTCATAGTCAGGTAGGAAACAGCACTGCGCCTGGTTGACGCAGATGCACAAAGTATTTGAGCACGAAGGCTAAATTTCTACTAAGGCTTCTCTTACAGCTAGACCTCTGTGGTCAACAATCAATAGTCTTTTTATCCATTTAGAGGGCAGCACCTGCTCTATCACATGAGAGGTATGATGCACAAAACAAAACCGCTCTAAAACCACACTCTAAGCCATTTAAACCATTAGTGCAGGTTTTATAACAGGTATATGATGTGTAAACTTTCAAATTTGTCCATTATCTATAATCTTCAGTCAGGGCTAATGGACGAGAAACTGGAAACATTTTATTTCTCAGTGGTTTGATCATTAGAAAGATTTGTGCCTTGTAAAACTTGATGGTTGCCCTTCCATTTCTGTTATCTTTATTTATTTATTTTTCTGTCCTATACAGTAGGTTAGCTTTTACTTTTAACATTTTCTGTGAAGAGCTAAATTCCCATGAAATGGCTTGATGAGTGCAGTTTTCTTTCCTGTGTTGATGTTTGCTGGACAGTTGAGACAGGATTTTTTTTATGCTTTTTTAGATTTTATGAACCATAATTTGTGACACTGATATCAAAAAATATCAGTGTCACAAATTATGTCTTTTTTTCTTTTTTTTTTATTGTTGATCCATGTACATGTTTCAGATGGGTATAGACCACCGCCACCTGCACCCGCACCCCACAGGGCATCTACCAATGGAATGCTCCAGTGCCGCTTTGCCAAGGTGAGTCTGAAAATCTTGCCTGAAATACCTTGGAGAAAGTCTAGAGGCGATTATCTGTCTCTCCTTGCTGAACTCTCTCTGCGATAGACTGGCGCCGGCGTGGCTAATTCTGTATTCAATCAATGTTTAGGGCTTGGCTGCATCTGTCAAATTGCTCATCACAATAAATGGGTTAGCCAGGAGCCATAGCTGCGAGACTATTGCTAATGTGCTGTCCGAGGGGAGAGTCTCCTCAGAAAGAGGTAGTTATCATCCACTAAAGCAGGGGCCTCCACGGGGTCTACCGTTCTGCAGTCTCAGAAGTGCTGCGTTTTATCACCACTTTCTGGCTAATAAAGGCCTCACCTGTGAGAGAGGTGAATTTCTCTTTGACAGGGATGGTGTGAGATGCCTTAGGACGAGAGCCTTAGAGCTCTATTGATCAAGCTGAATGGTCTTTTTCGTGTTCGAAAGTGGGACGTAGTTCACTCATGATTGATTGAAAGTTGAGTACACTCTTAAAAATAAAGGGGCTTCACGATGCCATAGAAGAACCTTTTTGTCTAAATGGTTCCATAAAGAACCTTTAACATCTGAAGAACCTTTTTGTTTCACAAAAGGTTCTTTGGGGCGAAAGAAGGTTCTTCAGATTATAAAAAGGTAAGAAAGAGATGGTTCTTTAAAGAACCTTTGACTGAATGGTTCTTTGTGGAACCAAAAATGGTTCTTCTATGGCATCGCTTGAAGAACCTTTTGAAGCACCTTTATTTTTAAGAGTGTAGCTTGGATATTAAATCCAATATGTGTCAGTCCTTTGAAAGAAGAGGCATTATAATGACTTTTGAGACTTTAGAGAATAATACAGTGGTTTCTGATCTGGGCTGAACGTCAGAAGTTTGTAGGTTCAAACAAACAAGGGACCAATCATGAACTCTAAAAATCATGAAATCGTCTCTATTGTGGCCTTGATAAAGACACTTAACCTCGGATTTGCAGGGAATGTCCCTGTAAATGTACTGTAAATCACATTGGATAGAAGTAGTTGCTAAATGACAAATTAAGATGGTAGAGGAGGCAGATCTATGGGCGTTCAAACTTTAAAATCAGCATAGCTTGTCATCCTGGTGTTGGTGTTCTGATTTGACACATACAATGGTGCCAAAACTTATTTAGACACTTAAGCAGCCCACAAAATGTTTTATTGCATTGGATTATTTTTTTTTTTACTGTTTTATTTTGTATTATTTAAAAAATATATGTAATGAATCAGCTCATGAGGTTTTTTTTTATGCTTTTAGATTTTATGAACCATAATTTGTGACACTGATATCAAAAAATATCAGTGTCACAAATTATGTCTTTTTTTCTTTTTTTTTTATTGTTGATCCATGTACATGTTTCAGATGGGTATCTTTGACTATTGAGTAGTCTCGTGCCATCAACACAGAGTTTTTAATATGACTTTAATGTAGCTGTAGCTAACAGCTGTTCAGCTTTGAAAAGACCCTTCCGTTCTATTCCATTTTATTGCCATTTATTGCCATCTAGCTGTTTTCAATGCCAGAATGTGTCCTGTGTGAGTGGTCCCTCACTCTCCTAAAGGAAATGATCATTGCTAGACATTGTGTTGGACTGAAATTAGAATTGTTTTAATGGCATTTAAATGGAAGTTCAGCAAGAGCTTGTTCATCTAATTCAACACAAGGGAATATACATAAGCGGCTGCTTACACTGCAGAAAATCATTTTCTTAATCAGTATTTTTGCATTATGCTTTACATAGTGTATCTTGAATATATATCTAGAATTAATTTCCTGTACAGTTTGCCTTCGCAAGTTAACTTTGCTTCTTTTTTAAGTATAACAAAAAATAAAGCTTAAGAAAATTATTTGTAGTAGTCTGCCTCTCTGCCTTTTCCATGATACCTCCACTAATCTTACACTAATTAACTTACATTAATTAAATAGTCTGGGGGGCAACTTCCTCAAGTCCCTGCATTATGGGCAGCTAGCCAAACCTGTTTACCTGTAGCACTGAAGGATTATATGAATATGTGAACTCGTGAAACAGATAGGGCTGTAATGCGGTCATAGCGATTAATAATGCGACAAATTGCATTCCTGCCCCATTTCCTCCTAATTTCCTCCATGCCTCCTTTTATATTATGCTTGTATCATTACCGTCATTCTTTTTCTTGTTTGGTTTGCAAGGAGAACAGCCTGCTAAGATCTGATCTCAGATGCCTCATGTGCCACAGGAGAGAATGTGGCCTGGATTGCATATACCAAACACCATCTTTGTATAATGACTCTCGTTGTATTCTGAATTACAATTTAGACTAACAAACTGTGCACAAAACAATATATTTTTTTTGTTACATATCCATCATTTGTGACCTTACACAAATTCCTGCAATTCAATACCGTGCATCTTTTTAATCAGTCCTCAGCTCCCGGCTGCGTTAATATCCGCTAGTTCCAGTAAACAGGATGAGGAATCGAAATGCAATAAGCAGCAGGTTTCACAGACCAATGTGTTTTTGACTTCTGGCTGTGTTTACATTTGTATGTGCTACAGCGGCATACTGCAGTACCCCAGACCCTCCTGTGAATGGCTCGGTGCATAGCCAGACGGGTACAAAACTTGGCAGTACCTTGCGCTTCAGTTGCGACCGGGGCTTCAACCTGATTGGCCAGACCACCGCCACCTGCACCCGCACCCCACAGGGCATCTACCAATGGAATGCTCCAGTGCCGCTTTGCCAAGGTGAGTCTGAAAATCTTGTTTGAAATACCTTGGACAAAGTCTGGAGGCGATTATCAGCCTCTCCTCGCTGAACTCTCTCAATGTTTAGGGCTTGGCTGCATCTGTCAAATTGCTCATCACAATAAATGGGTTAGCCAGGAGCCATAGCTGCGAGACTATTGCTAATGTGCTGTCCGAGGGGAGAGTCTCCTCAGAAAGAGGTAGTTATCATCCACTAAAGCAGGGGCCTCCACGGGGTCTACCGTTCTGCAGTCTCAGAAGTGCTGCGTTTTATCACCACTTTCTGGCTAATAAAGGCCTCACCTGTGAGAGAGGTGAATTTCTCTTTGACAGGGATGGTGTGAGATGCCTTAGGACGAGAGCCTTAGAGCTCTATTGATCAAGCTGAATGGTCTTTTTCGTGTTCGAAAGTGGGACGTAGTTCACTCATGATTGATTGAAAGTTGAGTACACTCTTAAAAATAAAGGTGCTTCACGATGCCATAGAAGAACCTTTTTGTCTAAATGGTTCCATAAAGAACCTTTAACATCTGAAGAACCTTTTTGTTTCACAAAAGGTTCTTTGGGGCGAAAGAAGGTTCTTCAGATTATAAAAAGGTAAGAAAGAGATGGTTCTTTAAAGAACCTTTGACTGAATGGTTCTTTGTGGAACCAAAAATGGTTCTTCTATGGCATCGCTTGAAGAACCTTTTGAAGCACCTTTATTTTTAAGAGTGTAGCTTGGATATTAAATCCAATATGTGTCAGTCCTTTGGAAAGAAGAGGCATTATAATGACTTTTGAGACTTTAGAGAATAATACAGTGGTTTCTGATCTGGGCTGAACGTCAGAAGTTTGTAGGTTCAAACAAACAAGGGACCAATCATGAACTCTAAAAATCATGAAATCGTCTCTATTGTGGCCTTGAGAAAGACACTTAACCTCGGGTTTGCAGGGAATGTCCCTGTAAATGTACTGTAAATCACATTGGATAGAAGTAGTTGCTAAATGACAAATTAAGATGGTAGAGGAGGCAGATTTATGGGCGTTCAAACTTTAAAATCAGCATAGCTTGTCATCCTGGTGTTGGTGTTCTGATTTGACACATACAATGGTGCCAAAACTTATTTAGACACTTAAGCAGCCCACAAAATGTTTTATTGCATTGGATTAATTTTTTTTTACTGTTTTATTTTGTATTATTTAAAAAATATATGTAATGAATCAGCTCTTGAGGAAATATGAATAATTAATCATAACTAGTTATGATTAATTATTAATATTTTAGATCCGCTGTAGATATTTAGCTGACCTCTCAGGGTCAACTGTCTTGTCAATTCTAAGAACGTTAATTTCCTGGTTAAGGGAAATAACTTCCTTACTGTACAATTCTACAAAAGCTTGTAGCATAAATCTGCATGATTAAATGACTCCAGTTATGAACAAACAATGAACCACATCAAGTGTGATACAAGTAAGGTTTTATTAACTACATAAACACTTAAACTAGTCTAACATACTACATAAACACATAAACTGGTCTAACATACACATACACACACACACACACACATACAGTTGGTATAGGAAAGGGTTAAAGCTTAACTCAGTACAGAGAAGAGACATAAGGAATGAAATTTATGGAACAATTGGCATATTCAGCAGATCTGCCCGAGGGAAACATCAAATTCTTAGTTCAAACACACC